ATGAAGGCCAGTATCGGTACATTATCAAAATGTGTATTTCAAGCTAGGAACAAGGACATGTAGTCACAGACACAGAAGAAGGACAATGGAAGGAACATTGGCTGCGGTAGGAAGGGTGGTGCATAGACAAAGGATCACCTTTATACTTAATTTATTGCACTATATTTGGGTTCTAAATCCTTTAAGACGGGTGACTCCTGGGAAGTAATTCTGTTGGACCTGGGACACATGATTTCAGCTGAGGAGAAAAGTTTAAAAAATGAACATGGGAAAGCAAATGCATCTGTTTTTCTAGGCAGGTGAAGGTTTGTGTTGGATTTTGATCATTCTAAAGTTWAACCAGCCCTGAATTCATGGGAATGTTTGGGCCTCCTGCGATTTTTTTCTCATGTTTAGCAAGATTTTAAATTCAAAGATGCAATTAAATGAAATCAAATGCTATGATTTGCAGAATATACATTATTAACTGATCTCTGCTGATCTTCCTCACCATGCTCAAATGATGAATTAATCATTGATCAGCTTGTCAATACAAGACAATGAGTAATTTTTCACTGAGGAAGGGAATAAAGTGTAACAATAATTTTCTTTGATTTTTAAGTAGAAGAAAATTAACAAGTGCCCAGACAAATTGATGATAAAAGGAAACAGGATTTTCCATGGCTACCTCTGGTCTTCCTACTGCAGACATGAAAGTTTGGCCAGTTATGGGCCATTTCAGAGGTGAGAGCTAACTTCTGCGGGTCTGCTGCTCTCACAAGGGGACTCCTGCTTTTGTTTTCTGCTGCTTATAGCAGTCATCTCAAGGAAATCAGCTCAGCCAAGCTAAACAGAAGCTAAACAGAATGGTAAACCAAAAGAAATACAGTTGTCATTTATTCAGTATCCAGAGRGAATTTATTTATCTGCAAAAAACCATGCATGTTGTGATTTATTAGTATTAATTCTTGATAGACATGTCTGGTCTGATAAATGTGAGGGAAGTCATCCTTTTGCTCAGTTTAATAAAACCTGAAGAGATAACGTGTTCTAGATAACATAAAGACATTCACTCGGTTGTGTGGTAATAACTTTTCAAATGACATGACCTGGTACTAATATAACTGTATAATGTGTCTCTATAAAACTTGAAAAAGAAGTTGCTGCTGTAATGGTTTTTKACTTTACATTGCCCAATATTTAGAAGGTGGAATTACTAAGTATGTTTAACTCATCAAAACTTCCTAAATAAAGAAATAGTTAYTGATACTTTCAATGAAGGATACCGTAAGCTAAGCAGATGCTTAGTGTAAGCTTTGGTAACTATTTATTCAGCTGGTACTTCTGTCTTAAATCCAATTTCGGTATTAGAGCACAGGAAAAAACAGAAGCTTTTGCTACAGCTCATTAAAAAACTGGGACCAACTAATCCTTCCTCCCACTGGCCCCCGAGCGCATCAGTCACCTAATGAACTTTCTGTTCCTAAAGCCCCATAATGAACTTCTTATTTCTGATGTCACATTCCCAGTCTTCAAAGGGCATAAGGGGCAGGTGTCATTGCCTCAGCAGAAGCTTCAGAAGGGCAGATGCCTTTTGGTATTGGCAAGAACTTAAAGAGCGGTTTACTTAGTCTAACAAACAGGCTGTATTTAATTTTCTTCCTGTGATTTCAGTTTGCTGCCATACTGGAAATGTGCAGTGCCTATAGTTGTTAAAGTCAGACTGTCTTTTCTTGCGAGAAATCAGAAAATGCTTCTCAAATAAGTATTTTTACTTTCTTATGTGAAAGGTAAGTCCACAGACCTTAGAGCATTTAAAATCAGCAAAAAATCTTTCAAATAAAGTTGCAGTGTTGAGGAAATCCTGCATTTTCTTCTGTATCTATCAACAGTTCATTGCCATTTGACCTATTAATCTTCATTTCTTTCAAGCTATTTCTTAAGCCAGTATAGCATCAGCAGAATTGTGTGACAAGTCATATGTCAAGAATATCTTGCCAAATTTAAAAGGCATTATAGTAACTAGTTTCTTGCAGRAACTGTGAAAAATTTAATCATACTAAGGCAACCAAGCAGACTTAAGTAACAGGCAGACCAGCTACTTGGTTTGACAAAGACAGTGGCAAAAACTTCATCRTAATTTCTCCTTCAGGTTTTTCACCAAGGCTTGGCCTTCAGGAGTGCTATGCCATCCATATAAGAGTTGTTTCTTTATACAGTTTACCAATGCAGTCAACTCAAACATCCAAACGCRTAGAGATGAAAAGTGTGTTTCCTACAGGCTTTGCCTCTAGGCAAGTGGACTTTTATCAGCAGGTGCCTATTATATACTGAAAAGAATCAAATTACTTTTAATATCATGATAACATCTGATGCAAGACATGGTTGTCTTCCACAGCTAAAGAAGTTGAATATGAATGGACTTGACAGCATGTATTATGAAATGCATTATGGTTTGGAGGCCGGGTGTTGCCCTAACAACCAGACGATATTTCCTTAATTAAGTATAATTTTTTCCCTATGTGATCACTAGAGGATTCAGCAACTCTGGCGAGTTAATGGACTGACAAATGCACGTAATTCTCTGCTCTAGGTAACTGTCAGCTTCAAAAAATTTAAGCTGTCTTAAGAAAGCTGTGAATCCTTTTTTCACAATTTCTTTTCTGTGTATAATAAACGATACATATTTTGAGACTAGAAAACATGTATTCTCAATTTAAAAATAATATGTATCCTATCTCCGAGTAACTTCTTTATCCTTGATATATGTATTTTCTCTGCAGTTTATTTTTTTGAATAATTTATTTGTAAAACCTGTCTTGCTTCCCAAAAGACATTTTCTACCAGATTTTTCCATCRTGTGCCTGGTACTTGTGTTTCCTACACTCAGTGACAAGACTTTCGTTACTGCTGTCCTTCCTTCGGCTGCACGTTGCAGCATTTGCATATATCTGCCTGTCACAGCTGTACCCACAGCAAGTTGCTCCAATCCTACCTTTGTAATAGACACCTTTGAAACGAGAGCTAGGGATATTGTGACTGCCAGCCTAATTGCAGCCACTGCTGCTGGCAGTGTGGAGTTCAGGGGCCGTGCTGCGCTTCAGCTGGCAGCTGTATATGAGCTATGGGGAGCTGTGTGGTGCATGTGGCTTGTCCTCGCACAAGTGGGACTTCACGTTGGCTGTCACTGAAACCTCTGAGGAGCTAATCCATCGCTAAGCCAAGGGAGAGAACGGCTTGTAGAGAGGACTAAGAACTGGTTTTGTGTAAGGAAGAAGTAAAAATTAAAAAAAAAAAAATTAACCCTATTATGCTACAGATAAGTTTTGTGGTGAAAGCTTGTGACTGTCTTGCCCTGTGAAGACCAATGTCATCAAAGACGAAGCTTAGCACTCAGGTGGTTCATGCAGAATAGGTTAGGCTATGGTAATTGCTAACACCAGTAACACCAGTACAAKTTAAAATAACCAAAATGTTCACAGGTAAAGTAACCAAAATGTTCAGAGGTCCTGCAGTTTGATACTCACCAAGCAGCTCGTTTTGTAGGCATTTATTTAAAATCAAGGTGACCATGCTGTGGAGGCTATTTGCTGTAACTTGACAGATTTCTCTAGTGACTTCTGTTGGTGCAGAAACAATCTAATATGTGACAAAGAAAACAAGTGTATAGATGCCTTGTAAGCAGGATTGTTACAAAGAGGGCTCATCGAGTTGAGCCTCCCTCCTCTTTATCATTGTATAGTGAGCTCCGAGACTGCAGAATCTCAGCTTCTCAAATAGGATGTGCGTAGACAAATTGTAAGGTAAGATGGGAAAAAGTTAGCTCTACATAAATGAGAGACAGATACCGAAGACTGAATGTGCTGTGGTTTTTGGAAATAGTCCTTTTAATTCACTGGTTTAATAGGTGGACTTTCTCAGTATTCTCAGTGAAAATATGTCACATTTGCCATGCATTTTAGCGTCTGTAAGGCTGTGATTCTATGTGCCTATTTACAATGTGTGTGCACACACAGATGAGTAAAGTAGAAGTATTTCATATGAAGAAATACCTGCAATTGTTTCCCCTTATTTCACTACTCTGTGACCAATACTTTAATCTAGTGCACTTGGGCACCTTTAACATCACTCGCTAAAGAGCAAAAAGCATGAAGGACAGTCCGCATTCTGCAAGAGAAAGAAAAATTGCTCTGTTTGTTGTGTGACTTCATAGAGCCAACGTGGAAAACAGCTCTTTACACCACAGAACTGAAGGGTGGACCTCTAAAATCATCGCTTTGCTGAAGGCATGGGTTTACCAACATGGGACTTTGGGGAATGGAAGAGCAAAAACTGAGGAATATGACAAAGATGCTTTCTCCAAAACTCTTCTGGCATGTCTTTTGTTTTTGTTCAAAGTCTTGTTCTTGCTTTAATTCACACGCTGTTTGTTATTGATGCCTTTGTTTGTCATGCGGAGAAGAAAAATGCTTTTAAGCTCTGTGTATGTGTTTTAAATGGGTGTTGCTAATAGAACGGCTGTCAATAGCTAGTCTTACTTAATCAGATACAAAATGTCATAAGTAAGGGTTCTTAATTGAGACTGGAAAAATCCAAGATAATTGCTATAATAGGTTGAAGAGCTCAGAGACTGAAGGTTTTGAAAGCCAGAGAAAATTGGATACATATGTGTTGTGTCTGTAAGATTGTTCTATATGGGACATGGGAAAAAAATAAATGACAGGCATTTTGTAATGTACAGCAGTATTCATTGTAGAGAGAGCATATGCATTTGTTTGTCAAAAGCAGTGAAGTAAAAAATGACACTTAATGGGAATTGGCATAAAATGGCCTCATTAGTATTACAAATAATATATGTGTGTAGCAGGGTTGTCAATAGAAACAAAACATATTTCCTCTGACAGACATTTTAGTCTCTTCTAAGATTCATGTCAAGTTTTCAGCCAAGTTCACTCATTTATACAATGCTGCTGCTATATTTTAGTGCGAAATGTTGAACTGGAAATGGTGTGTGTTTGTAGGGTGCTGTGATAACACCAACAATGGACCACACTATGTCAATGCAGCCAGCAAGCATGATGGGCCCTCTCACCCAACAGATGAACCACCTTTCCTTGGGCACAACAGGAACGGTAAGATCATAGATTATATTATTCCATTTCTGTTTTGCAAAGTGTTTGTTGGTTCCTGAATTTCTCAAGGTCATTTCTCAGTGTTGGATTTTTACTTTTCTGTGGTTTGGTGTGATTTTCCTCCACAGCTGGAGATGTCTGGCTGGCTGGCTGGGTCAGGACATGAAAATGCCTTTCACCATGACCCAAACGTGATGTACTATGCAAACAGCATCCTAACATCATTACCTCGCACACAGAGATATCTACAGATACGTTTCAACAACCATTGTACAGTTGGCATTATGGGTTATGGGGAACAGAATTCACAAATATAAGTAGTAAAAATATAGGTCAGCAGAATATGCTCTGTTTTAGCAAGAATTCTCATGTAATTATGAGAATAATTCTCACTAATTCTCATATAAATATGAAAATATTCCTCTATCACTTGTTTTTTTCTTGAGGACTGTTTAGTTGCGACTCTGAGAAGTTTTACACTACCGGAAAATAGCAATTCGTGGCTTTGTGATAGGATCCAGCATTCACTTCTAACTCATAGCAGCCAGCCTTACATAGTTTGCTCCAGGCTCAGAAATGCGATTTTGGGTCAAGGTCAGCTGGGTTTTCAGTATATTCTATTTAAACATGCATATTTCAATATTTCTTTTCTCTTTAAGCTCTGTAAGTCAGACCCAATTAATTCCCCCGGAGTCAGAGAAAGGAAAAAAAAAAACTAAAATTCTGTTAGACTTCCCTTAAATGCTTTAAGTAATACCAATAGCCTGCACGCAATATATGGTGGCTTAATATGTGAATTGTCATATATATATACAGCTATATGTAAATATATGTGTGTGTGTCTACTATTTCACCATTGTCCTGCTGGAACAGTTTTCCAGTAATTTCTTTTGCATAAAATAAGGTACTGAATAAGGCCAATTCCTGATATAACTATTTAACCCATTGTATTCTGTTTTGTGCTTTATTTTTCCTTCTCTTCCCTCCTCCTCTTCCTCTTTTTTCTTTATATGTTGGATTGTATTCTATGTCTAGGGTCTCCCCCCACCCCCTTTTTAGATTTTTTTTTAGGTCTCAGACTTCTGATTTTATTTCTGAAGTAACTTGTATATGATGGCTCATCATTCTTTCCTGTTATTTTAAATGTTTCATTCAGTAATCAAAACAAATAAGAATTACATCTCAAAGTTAATCTTAGGATATTTTCCTCTCTCTGAGCAGGCAAAATTGAAGGAAATAGTATGACTAGCGTGAATTTCTGTGTGTGTAATTACTCGAAGGTTCAAATAGACAAGGAAATGGAAAATGAAACCTGGCTGTGCTGCTGGGCAGTTCCTATGAATTTTTCCTTCTGTCTGTCATTTCCATCTCTATGACTCTTACCGATATTAAATATTCTTTTCCTTGAAATATATTCTCTATCAATCTGCATGAAAACTAGAAAATTCACAGGTAATATTCTCTTCCGACATCAAACTACAATTGTTATTCAATAGTAAAGGTAAATGTTTCTTATTTGGGGAGGCAGGAGAGGGATTCTGCAAGGCAGAGGGTGATCTAGTGTGCCATAAAAAGATCCTGGATTTATTTTAGTGCAACTATCATAAAGAAAATCTTTCCTTCTATTTCCTAGATCTTTACACAGTCTTATCATTAAAGGTCACGCCATTCCCTGGCACCGTCTTGAAATACATGCAGTAGTATATCATATAGGTTTTTGTTTGCCCTCTTAAATTCATTTTAACTCCTTTACAGAAAATTTAAAGAGCAGAAGGAAAAAAGGATTTACAGTTTCACATTATCCATAGGTTTTCCCTAAATCTCAACTGGGTAAAAAAACTGATAGCACCATAGTCAGTTAAGGGCCCTTTATGCAGGCAAAATGATGATGGAGCTCTTTGGGATTTCCTCCTCTTTGGAATTAAAAGGAGAACTTCACGATTTGGGCTGCCAGGGGCAGTTTTGTTGAATGCAGGCATCCTAACTTGAATATTCCTATAATGTCTGCCTCCAGAAAAAAAAATGGAAAAAAGTAACAAACTATTTAGGGGTATGGCTTATTTAGAGATAATATCTTCATTCATTGTGAAGTCTGAATTTGCATCTAGAGAGAGGAGCATTCAGGCCATACGTTCACAAGGAATGGAGTCAAGTCAAAAAAATGCTGCAGTGACTTCCTCAGCATGGCTAAATTTTATGGGAGATGCAAGACATAAACTCTACATTTCTGTTATGAATATATATTTTTTAATTTTATCCTTTAAAACTCTGCAACAGGGTGCTATAAAGAGCCACTAGCTATTTCTCAAGAAATGAGCCAGATTGTTTTCAACAAACAAGGCAAAAAGTCATAAACAATTCTGCTTAGTGTCGGCTGCAGCTATGTCCCAATTTAATTTAAAAGCTTGCACTATGCAAAGCGGTTTTTATTAAAAGGCTTTGATACATTTGCTTCCTTAGACAAACTATTTTGCTAACTAGCATAATCTATTTTTCAGCCAAAACAGACCTCATCAGTCACCTAAGTGAAAATTGACTTCAAATCCACTTCCAAACTTGCCTCCTTCAGGATGGATGCTGGCTCCTAAAATATTGCTTCAGCAGAAAATCTGTTCTCTAGTGGAGGAGCTGGTGAAACAGTGTAAAGGCCTTTGCAAGCCTCATATCTTGTGGGAATTGCTCTGTCCTTTAATGCTCTCTAAGAGATTCAAGTATTTTAGAGTGTTTACAGAGGGGAGACCCTTCATAGAGGAAGGGTCACTATCCTTGCTTAGGATAGTCACCTGAGAAGGGATGACCTCTTCCAGTTCCTCTCTTGACACCAGCAGTGGGATCTGAGTTGCAACTACATGGCCTGAAGCCTCAACCCCCAACGGGGACCCTGAGGGCAGCTGCCTCCCTCCCAGCACTTGGTTATTTAGCTGAGGATATGGCAAGGCACACTGTGGCCTTGCCACTGTCCAGGATGACTTGCTTAGAGCTAGGGGCATCRCGTTGCGCAGCCAAAAAAGTCTCCATTTTCTTACAGTTCTCCTCATGCCATGGGAAACCTTGAGTCACCAGCCCCCCAGAAGCATAAGAAACTTCATTTAGTAAATCATTTGGAACGAACAGCAGCAGGAGGCTTGCTTTCCAAACCCCCAAAAGAATGCCTTTAATTTAATTTCATTATTTTATCTATTTTATCTGGTTTTGCATTTTATCTCTTTTGATCTACTAATGAATTGTCTGCATGCAGTCAGACAACTCTGCTATGTGGARCGCTCCCGGGAGCAGGAGGCACTAAGACCATCATGATGCCAGGCCAAGAGAATAAGGGCAGACCCAAGCCCTTTCTGCCTCTATGCAGATCCAACTGATTTTTGCCAGTGGAAATACCATTTGCAATCGGGATGAATTTGGAGGCAAGCGTGCCACTCGGATCACCTCCCCAAAGATACCTGAAATGGGGAGTTAAGCAGAGAATCAGCCAGAGGGGCAAGTTTGGCCTTATTCCTAYGTATTTTTCATACAGACCTCTTCATTATAAAAGTACAGAAAGCATTTACACAGATAGRCTGGCTCTGAGCAAATACATAAAGAAAACCTAAGCTTAAATTATGTCAAGATTACATCAAAAAGGCGATAACTCTGAATATTTTGATTAAGGCTTACAATCCAGCCTCAGCTCCCACAGTTGTATTAAAATGAAAATTTAATGCCCAGAGGCATAATGTGAACACAGAAAACTTGCTTTAACCTTGAAATTTTTCTTTTGTTTACTAGTTTATTATTATTTCTTACAGTAAGTCTTGCTTTTCTTATGTAATATTCATCTACAATTAGGTCTACTATTAAAAAAGATACCATACAAAGGGAGCAGAGTGAGTCGGTCTGTATGGGAAGCCCTGAAAGAACAGCATTAGTATGTGCTTAATAATATATAGAAGCTGGAATTGTTCCATCATCAACCTGTCATTCAAAATGTTTCTAATACAGCAATTGATCTGACATCTGTTTTGTGGTTTAATAAAGTTGTGATTGATGGCCTGAGTGGATATAGTATAAAAACCTTTAGAAATATAAAAACTGAGCAGCCCGGTCACTGCTTTCAGTCTCTCAGCCCAGCTCCTTTTTTACTGTGGCACTTGCATGTTCGGCTGTCAGCAGCAATAATCTGCCTCTTCAATGGAAAGCAGATTTGCCCAACTCTTTTCTCCTCTGTTGCTCGTTCCTGAAGGAAGTTTTCTGTTTAGGACTTTCTTGTTAAGGTTTTCTTTCCCCTCCCAGCTGTTGGTGTCCTTTTCTGATACTGCTTGGAGCCACTCTTATCCAGCAGATTGCAGCAGCCTTTCTTAGTCCTTGGTGGCAGATYGGTAATTCCAGCATTTTTTTTCTTGTTCAAATTGCCTTAGTCTTACCTCATCTTAAATCTTTGAAGTCCACCCAAATGGGGAAAACGAGTAGAAACCGTTTTTTTTACAAAAACTTACAGATGAACAGTGCTGCTTCTTGTTCTTTGTGCTTGCAGCCAGCTCACTCGGCTCTCAGCTTCTGATTAAAAGAAATGTAATAGGCAACATGCAAAATAAGCTTGACTACCCCTTTTTTAAAACACCCTCTCCCTCTTAAAAAAAAAAAAAAAAAAAAAGATTAATTATTCTGTATACCTCTGATTCAAAAATGCAGTCAGGTAGAAGAGCAGCATTAATGAAGTGTGGGCTTCTGTTGAAATGGCAAAGCACTCGAGCTCAGCTTCCCTGGTTTATAGTATCACCAGAAATCTCTCAATGGAATAACAGGCTTGTTATGCTGGTACATCGTCCTTATCTCACACTTTGTTAGCTCTTTTTGTTGCCAGAAGAGCTTGATGATATCTCCAGAACCCTTCAATGGAAGAACAAGCTTGTTATAAGTTTTTTATCTTTTATTTCCTTTGGATACACTATGGTCACCAGTGGTTTAAAATGTCACCTAAAGGCCCCAACAGAATAACTGCTTTGTTAGATACGGTTGTCTTT